ATTTCTGCAAAGTTTGAACTTCTATGAGTGCTGAGTGCATTCACACCCATCTATAAAGGAAGCTGTGAATATTCTCAGTGTGTACGAAGGTCCATGCTAGTGTGCCAAAGCTGCTACTATCTGATGAATGCATTTACTTTATGAGGAGGTTGTCTGCATTTGCCTGGGCTGGGTTGGATTTTGGATAGGTAGATGAACTCTGCACCTAGAGTACACTACATCCTGTGTTATTACTAAAATAAGCATAAAAACCTTCCAAGAGGCAAATCGTCTTTACTCAGAAAAATATTTTCCTAGGAAGAATAACAAAATCTAGTAAATCAGATGACATGTAAAGACACATGACATGGAAGTGATCTGAAAATGTGGTGAAGAAAGGTAGAAAAATGAGCAAGGGATCTGTCCTCTCCTCCTGCTCTGGCAGTTAACTAAAGACCCTTGCTGGCAGCTTGGCCTTGGCCTGTAACTCCTTCCAAGCCTCTATATTCCCATTACTGACCTGAATGAGGCCACAGCTGAAGCAGATATCCTACCAGTTCAGTTTTGTAAAATGTTTTGGGTTAAGTTTTCAATAGACTGTTGATGGGAATAGCAAAACAAGAAGCAATTGATCACATCCCAGTTTATATAGTTTTAAAAAAGGCAGGACAGGCTGCAAAATTAGCTTTGTGGGAGGAGCTCAGGCTGATTCCCTTCTGCGCCTCTGAAGATTCCCCTGGTGCCCAAGTACTTTCCTCCCCAGCTGCCAAGGTGTTTGTCCTTGCTGTGGGGCTTCTGGAGTCAAGTGAGGACACAGTGGCTGAGGCATCCTTTGGCTAGACCTGGAGAGAAGTTGCAGGTACTGCATCTCATTTTATATTTTATCATCCAAACTCATCTGTCACATAAGATGCTGTCTATTTGTTCTAGCAAATGCAAAACTGAATATCCATAATTAAGATCAGGTTTTGGATATGGTGCTTTGGTTAGCTGCAAATAAATTCAAATAAATTTGTCAGCATGTAAAACAATACAAAGTGTTGCCATATTTGTGTCCAATACATAACGTACACTATTTATCTATCCATAGAAGCGTTGAAAACAACAAAAAAACCCCAGCATATTTTGAAGCACATGCAGAATAAAGTAATTTCTCGTAAGAAGGTAAAGCTGTACTCAAACATATGTGCTGCATAAACAAAAAATTTATTGTACTCACAAATTATTTGTATACCCTAAATGTAAAAATGACTGTACTACTGATTATTTCCTCTGAGTACACATAAAATAGTGCCAAAGGGCAGAACATTACCAAACTAGTTCAACCACACCTCAGGCTTCCTGCAGGCTCACTGAGACAATGATCTCCATACATTTACTTGTCTTTGTTGCCCTTTCTCTCACCCTTGGTGATTACTTTGCACAGAGCAACTACATGGGAACAAGATGGCAGGAAGATGAGGAATGTAAGAGCTGGAAAGCAACTGCAGTTTGGGATGGGCAGAGGATGTTGTCTCTCTGTAGAAGGATGGAGTAACCCAGATGTGTGGACAGTGGTCAAACAGCAGTGAGGGTAAAGACACTGGAAGGCCAAGAAAAGGAAAGAGAAGTTCTGGGAGGTCCTTGCTTAAGTTTTACCATCATCTTGTAGACAAGAACATTCTGGTTGAACTTGATGGTGTTTTATTTACCTAGGGCCAGCTGGGTAATTGTCATGCATCTGGTTGCACCTCCAAGAACCTTCTCAAGGGCAAATATGTTTCTTTCACATGTAGTAGGCTCTGTTGGGTGATGCAGCAACAGCTATTGTCCAAAGCAACTAATTCAGAACACCTTTAACAAGTCCCATGACTGTACTAGAACTTGACATATATTGTCAAAATATTTCTCCCCAACTTAGATTGTAAACACCTAGTTCTTTAAATTGGAGGTTCATAATTCATTTGACAATGGAGGAAAACCCAAAAATACTTCCTCTGCTCTCCTCCCAACACCACAACCATAATCTGAGGGTTTAGGTTTTAGTACTAGATAAAGTACATAGTAGGGTATTATTCAAAGGGGATAATGTGGAGGAAATATGAAACAACCAGCCCTAGATATGTAAAAGATGACCTTCAGTGAGCAGGAAAAAAGCTTATCTCCTAAAATCCAGTGCTCTGCCATTTACCAATGCTTCTACTCATGCATACCAAGTTACTTTTAGGTCTAGATGAATATAAAGTCTTTGCAAGATGTAAAGATAGTCAGACCAGTGATTTATGAGGAACAAGCTGAAATAAAAGTTTATTCTTTTTCTTGCTGACCTATTAAGGATGTTTTTTGAGCATGGACAGAAACTTGTGTCATTCACTGAAAGTATCCCCATTGGGTACCTGTCATGGAGTCTGCCTGAGCCAGGACTGAATGTGATTTATAGAAAAGGTGGTGTTTAAAGCTACACCTTATTGTTACTAAAAGAGCAGAACTGTACATAAATTTTAAAGTAACAGGGGAAATTTGATGCTTTATGGCACAAATAGTTCTTTACAGGCAAAACTGCATAACATACTCTAGTCATATAAAAATCATGATTTGTTCTGTGTGGAGAGTTAAATCAACTGTAAATGAAGACACATTTCCTCAAACATATAGCAATAGGCACTTTATTTACAGTATCACATTATGACATCAGTATCATGTTTTAAGCCCAGCTGGCAACTAAGTCCCATAGATGCTTACTCACCCCTGGTGGGATAGGGGAGAGAATTGGAAGGGTGAAATTGAGAAAACTCATGGGTTAAGATAAAGACAGACTAATAGGTAAAGCAAAAGCCACTCACACAAGCAAAGAAAGACAAGGAGGTCATTCACGGCTTTTCATCAGCAGGCAGGTGTTCAGCCTGTCCAGGAGAGCAGGGCTCCATCATGCATAACGGTTACTTGGGAAGACAAACGCCATCACCTCAAATGTCCCCCCTTCCTTCTTCTTCCCCCAGCTTTATATGCTGGACATGATGTCATATGGTATGGAATATCTCTGAGGTCAGTTGGGGTCAGCTGTCCCGGCTGTGTCCCCTCACAACTTCTTGTGCAGCCCCAGTGAGTCACTGGTGCATAGTGTGAGAAGCAGAAGAGGCCTGGGCTCTGTGTAAGCACTGCTCAGAAGTAATGAAAACATCCCTGAGTTATTAAGTTTCCAGCACAAATCCCAAGCATAGCTCCATACTAGCTACTATGAAAAAAATTAACTCTATCCCAGCCAAACTACAAAATATTGCATATGTGTAATATATATAATGTTCATGGTCAGTATAAAGATATGACTAGCTTATAGCAGAGCCAAACTCACAGGCTTTGACAAGAGAGCATTGGCTTTCAGCTTTCCCAGAAAAGTTGCTGTCAATGATTACAGCAGTCTCTGTTCAACTTTCATTTTTGATAAAATACAGGACATGATCCCAGTTACTGAGATGCAGGATAAGGGATTTTTAAATCTCCAGTATGCTGTAGTTTGCTGGCAGCTGAGTAACAGGTATTATGACAGTTAGATTCAGACACATACTAGGCACTTATTTTTCAGATTAGTTAAAGTAACAGCTGCTTTTTATTACAGAGTTTTCAGATGCAGAACCTCAGATGGCATACATTATCAAATCCATTGAAGTCAGCTGGAACTCTGATAATTTACACCAGATGAGAATATAAGCTATCACTGGAGATAGAGCCTCACTACAGGAATCTTAAGATCTTGAGAAATGCTGCCTAGTGGATATAGCAGAGAGTCTGGAAAATCATTTGATCTGACTGTGTCAGTCAGACCATATGTTAAAAACAAGGTGTGATAGTCTGGGGAATGCCTGCCAGTTTGTGGATATGATTTCATTGTAATTTAAAGTGCAGATTAAACTCACCATTCTGAAGCAGAAACAAGATTATATCTATGAAGCTGAATCAGCCTTTAAGACTACCTCAGCCAGGAATCTTTTCAGCCTGGAAGAGCAATTAGATTGCTGCTACAAACAACTGACAGTTATCACAGCACTTTGACATAAACCTGGTGTGTATCCCAGGAAAATCTCATCAGAAGTCTAAAAGACGTAGGCTCTTTCAGGAAAGAAACCTCCTTAACTGCAAAGAAAGAAAGTAAAACTGGGGAGAGAAAGATATAGAAGGTTTTGCCTCCTTTCCCCACAGTCATTCTTCAGATGCCCATAAGAAAGGAGGAACTGATGGTCAAGAGTAGTTGTGCACAGACCAGCAAATGCTGTGCTGCTTTGCAAGGACTTTGTTGCAACACAACCAATAGCATCTGAGACACAGGACTCCAGCAGGAGAAAGCAAAGATCAGCTGTGGAGGTGTGAGGTACTAAGCCATCATCTCATGACATTTGTTACTTTGATGTCTCATGTCTCAGTGAGAGTTGCCAGACAGAATCTTCACCATGGGGGACAATCACAAAGGTCCAAAGTTAAAGATGATTCTTAAAAGCACTCAACCCAAAACTGGAGTTCCCAACTATGGAAACATAGGATCACCCACCCAAGAGGTTCAGGTGTATAACATAAGGCCTACTTACAAATGTGATGCTTTGCTTACATGTAGATTTCCAAAGCATTTTAAGTATACTGGAACAGCTATCTGATGCAAGGATGGATGAGGAAGGAGTGATACATCACGTCTATTTCTCAGTGAGTGGGGACCAGTGAAACTACAAAGAAAATGCAAGGCAGTCTGATGAGAACATAAAAGAGAAAAACTACCTCTAAAAGAGAATAAAGAATATCCTCATAAGTACTGTTTGGGAGCTTAGTGAGGAACTGGCTTCATCTGAATAGAGGCTAAGCCCTGGAGCTACTGATACCAAAGGCAGCAGTTAGTACAGCTCCATCCTGGTCAGTACTGCAATGGTGAGGTCACCAGTGTTACCTACTACTTCCACGACACTACTGTGGCTCCTCCTTCTCTTGATTTCTTGAGATCATGCAATTTATTAGCTTCTTCAGCAAAGGACAGGAAAACACAGTGTCCTTTGTGATGCTTTTTTTTAAAAACATATCCCTTCCTTGTCAGTACTGAAGTAATTAAAAGAAGTTGGGAGACTTGTATAGGATATTAAGGGCAACTTTGCACCAAAAACCTGTTAAGGTATCAGGTATAAGGTTTCAGCTTGGAGGAAGCTTAACAGAAAAATTCAGACGATAAGTCATTAAAAAAATGCATGGCAACAGATACAAATATCCAATTCTTGTTAGGGACTACTTGGAATGCTGATCTCACTGAAACATGCTCCCCAACTTATTTTAAATATCTTACGTAATTATACTCTGTTTTCAAGTTCTGGTCACTGCACAGAGGTCTCTTTTGTATAAGTTCATATTCAGGTCAAGTTCAGAAAGGCTTCATAGCCATTAGAGACAAGACATTGTCCTTCTGCCAATGTGGTTATGCCTCAAGCTGCAATAAGGCTGAAGTAGCCATTGTAAGGGTTATTTGTATTTTTTATTACTTGCAGAAAGGAAGTTTTCGCCAAGCAAGGATATAATTTTAGTTCTCTATGCACAAAGAAAGAATTGGTTTGCTGTAAATAATGATAAGCTAATGTTACTAATTACTTCTGCACTTTTTATTTGAAGGACTAAGTATCATTTTACAAACAAGAGCCCAAACACAAGTTGCAATTTTTGGACAGGCATACAAGGGTTAATCCATGAGCTAGGACTGTTAATCCAAAACAGTATTTCACCTCCTGTGTATGACCACAAGCTTATAGAGTAGTTCAGAATCATCACATACACTGTTAATTCACAAGGCTGTTGCTCAGAAACTAGACTAAACATGAAAAGGAGTGCTAAAATTCCATGTGTAGCTGGATGTCTTCTGTGTACATCTTTAGAACAGGTTTTTATGAAGCCTGTATCCCTTACAACACTAAACCATTTACAATTGTGCCCTTTCTTACACCACTGCTGAAGTTCCCATAGAAATGTTAGCAAAAAACTGGATCATGAAGTAAGCCCACAGCAGAGCTGAAGGAAGAACCCAGACTACCTTGGTTACCATCAGAGATAAGGCTAGAACATCCACTGTGACCACACGGGCTGATCTGTTTTGTCATAGAGATTTCCTGAACTGCTGCAGAATTGAGCTAGAGTACGTCTTTTAAGAAAGACATCTCTTGAGATTAAACTCCTAGAGATGGAAAGTCCCTTATAATTTTAATTAAACTGTTCCAATGATTAACTGCTCATTATTCAAGGAAAATTGTACCACTAAGTTCTAGTCTGATTTTGTTCAGCTTCAACATTAAGCAATCGGATCCTGTTACGTCTTTGTCAGCTAGATGGTAAAAACAGGCATTAAATTTCTATTTCGTTGCAGATACTTTTGGACTGCAGTCAATACAGTTTTCTGGTTTATAAACCAAATAGAAGAACTTCCTTGTATCATGCCACATGAATCAATGATTTTTCTGGCTCTTCTCTCAACCTTTTCATCTACCAACAGTCTTCTTGAATCCTAAACTGGACAAAGCAAATTCCAACAAAAATTATTTCAGTGCCAAACTTATAACTAGTATTGTCTTTCTAGTCCCCAGAGATTTCTCTTTGTATATCCAAGAATTACATGCAGTGTTCTGACCAAAGCACCATGTTTAAGAGTTTATACATTGTTACCTTCCACAACAAATCTATCTGCACCTCTTCATTCCTCCTCCAAATCCCTAAATAAAAACTCATTAACAGAAGAAAAATTCCAACCAGCATTTTCATCTCTTCTTAAGTCCAGCAAAACACAAGTGTCTGAAGAAGGCAAGAGCAGCTTTAGCTTTGCCGTAACATGATGGTTGATTAGACTATGGGAATTATCTGCAGGCATCGGTTTATTCCCTTATTTGTTACAGCTGTACCAATACATGTGAAAAGGTTATGCAAGGCAGAGAAAGGGTAACAATGATGCATCTATGGTATAAGACATATTTAAAAAGACTGCCTCAAGGTTCAAAAGTAGAGTCAATCTATAGCATGGGGATGTTTTAGCCTTACTCTGAGATGCCAAAATAAAGTTTTGTAAGCATGTAACATAATGAATGCTTTAGAGATGATCAGACACATGATATACACGGAAACCCAGGAAAAGAAATTGAGGCTTAGATACTCCTAAAACAAAAATCTGTGTTTGCTAGGGAATTTTATTTTGAGAACACCTTGCTCAACTGACTTTCAATGGCTTCAGATTTGGCTGTTCTTGAGCTCTGGTACTTGGTGGGCAGACCAAATGTACAGGTAAAAAGGACAGTCTGCTTTCACTGTTCACAGATGTATTATTTTAAGAGTTATCCACAAAATATTTGTCTGCTTGCCCTCAACTTATTAAATAAAGTCATGTGGACTGCATCACATCAATGACTTACCTTTGCTGCTTATTGGATCCCCAATCTTTTGGGTTGTCTGGGTGTCATTAATAATTTTGTACAATGTTTGATGTAATTTAAAATTAAATAACACATGGTCAAAAGCAATTTCTAAAATAGCCGTAATATAATATACTTGCTCAGTTAGAATCCTTCATTTACTATTTTGTTTTTTGCTGTCAGTTAACCAATATTCTGTTAATTAACAGGTCATATTGATCAGCTTGGCATGACAGAAAGCATACAGAAAGTGTCATGCAGTGGTAAGTCAAAATGTTTGGAAGAAGTCTAAGTATTACATAAATACTATTGTTATGTAAACACTATTTTTTTTAATCAAGTGTGTTGTTTAATAAAACTGTGGTCAGATATGTTTTTCATATACCCATATTGACCAACATTAGTTCTACTGATCTTCTTTAATAGCTTACATACCAGTTACACATTTTTTGCCTACATGGATGCTAGCCAGTAATCACTGTCCTCTTTACCCTCTCTACTGCCAGTACTTTTAACTTAATCAAGTCCTCTGGATTGTCTTTTCCAGTTTCAAATTTATTGGAAACAAACAGTAGAAATACAGATAGCTGTTCGGTCAGTCTGAATATAAACATTGAGTTAAAGTTATCTTGTTACTTTAAACGTAGCTCCTGAGTTACTGCTGGAATAGGATTTGCTTTCTTACCCCGTGAAGTGATAGAAGCTTGGGGCTTACCCATATGCTTCAAACATAGAAAAAATATATAATTATTCAGTCTTTTTTGTTTTTCTAGGAACATTTCCATCATTTCTATAGATCCATTTGATTCTTAGAACTAACATAACTCTCACTAAATGTACCACCTCTAGCCATGAGGGCAGCAAGAGACATGAATGATGCTGTGTTCTTTGCAGACGTAATTGCCATTTACAGCACTGACTCACAGGAAGTAGTAAGTCTACATAAAATATTCCATCAGACTGGCTGATGTATTATCCCAAGATGGAGTGTTGAGGCAATAATGAGCAGTTACTGTTCTGAGCATCTGTTGAAAGGACAGAGGCATCTTAAAATCTAGCCAACTTTCAAAAGTTAGTTAAAAGCAGTTCTGTATTTTCTTACACATCTCCTAAACGACTTGTTCAGCTTATTTACAGAAACATGTCTTTCATGCTATGTGGCAGATGCACACAAAACAAGAGACTGACTTAAACAAACCCAGCGATGTTAACCACAGATAAAAGTGCAGGCAGAGTAACCAGGGAATTATTTTTGTTCAGCATTACTTGCAACAGCTGGTATGACTCAATGAGAAAGGTGTAGTTACATTGACTCTGCTCCTTTCAGAAAGAAGTGACCTGTGGAGAGACATGAAGAAGCAAACTGTAATTCAATCCACCTTCATTCTGCCAGACCACAATATTCCATATAAAAGATTTCTGCAAGAACATCACAACATGCAACAACAAAAAAAATACTTACTAGACTAAATTTATCAACAGTTTATACCTGGGACAGCAGAGAACTAAATCAGATTAAGTTTTTCTTTTATATTCCCCTCTTTACTCCCATCCACCCTACATCTTTTTTCTTTATATGGAGACAGTAGAACCTTTATCTTGTCTAGGAGCTGTCACTATTTTTTTTCCAGGTAAACTTAGAAAAAAGATTTTAACTATCTTTGTACTACCAGTGAACATGAAAGGTTAGTAGTTTTAATTTTTAAATATTCTTCACACAAAATTATGATTGTTATAATCATAACAAGAATCACCACTGTCTATTAGTATTTATATCATTATGCTTTCACTCATCAAGGTAAGATCTATACAAATGCTACCAGAAATACTCTTGCTGAGATCAGCGTAAGCTAAAGTAGTAAATTTTGCATAATTTTCACTCTGTAGATGCTGAAGTGTATTCTCATCCGGACTGTAGTCTGAAACATTATTTTTCAGTTCTCAAGCTACTTTCAAGCAGTTGTCTTCTGAATGCTAATTTCAGTGTTGTGTTGGCAGATCCATACAGAGCATGTCATGAATGTTGCTATGGTTATACTCTCCATTTAGTAAACAGTATGAAATAAACCCACATTCAATGGCAATAATGCAACTTAGACCAATCCCCAGGTACTGTTAAAGTGGTTTCTCTTAATTTACACTTTTAAAAATCTGAGTAAGCAGAGATTGCAGTTTCATTTCCAAGACACCAGTATAGGCGACACCATCCCTTTTAATAAGTGCTCAAACTTAGCAAGCAATTTTTTACAACTAGGAGCATCACTGCAGGCAAGGCCAGAGATTCTGAGCAAAGGGAAAAAGTTCCCTTCTTCCCCTTAGCAGATGTGGTGACTGCAACTCATGAGTACCAGATGGAGGTTGTCACCACAGCATCAATTATTGGGAGAGGAAACTGTAACTTTTGCAAGGCCCAGAGCTATTTTAGGAGGATTTTCCTGATGCTAGAATCAGTCCTGGGTGGATTCAATTTCCCAGCAGTAAATGCCATTTAGAGGGTGGAGTTGGCAAGGGACTGGGTTTATATATTCATCTTTAAATCTTACTTGCACTAGCTCTGCCCTTCTCTTCCTCAGTTCTTCCACTCCTAACTCATATCCTAGTGATTTCTCTTTTTATTTTTAAAGAAAAGATCTCTAACTTTCCTAGTGAACTTCAAAAGCAGCCATTCAACTGCAGCCAGTAAACTTTTGTTTTAAAAAACAAAAAGCAAAGCCTTTATGTTTGCAGGGATAAATTGAAAGGTCAGAGTAGGGTGCAAACCGACTTAGTATTAGTTGTCCAAGTGTGCATATGGAGAGCTCTGCTGCCTGTGCTGTTGCCCTCAGCACAGTGAAAACTGTGCTCAGGCTTTGCTGCTGCTGCTGCTCAGAACCACTGGAACCACAGAAGACTCTGTAACAAAGCTCTGAGAAGCACATATTAAAATTACTAACTGGGAAGCAGTTCTGAGTTAGGGTACTGGAGAGATTCTTCCGTCTTCTCAGATTGGGGGAGCAGTAGCATGGCATCAGACCTTCACTACAACTGGAATTCAGAGGCTCCATAGGGATCTGTCCCTGCCCAGAGGCTCCATTTTTTCTGAACCACTAAAAAAATGTATTTTACATGAAGGCAGCAGGATAGATTTTTACGCCTTCTGCTCACGGATCACAACATCCGCAGGATGACTGATGGTGACATCTGCCTAAGCTTGTAGTCACAGTATATGACACAGTATCTCCTGGAGCTTTTGAACCACACCACATACAGTGCCTGTAGCTATTCTCTCTGAAGGACCCCAATACAGCCCAGCAGAGGACAGTGTCTAGCAATAAGACAGCTGTCCCATGAGTCCTGCCTAATTTACTGAAGCAAAGAAGCATGGATACATATTAAGTATCAAGGGTCCCTTTCTTTTCATTAGTAAAACTGCCAAAACCTTGCAACTCCTAATACCCCCCTGGAAGAAGCTTAAAGCACTAACTTTCCAGAAATTCAAGAATACATTGTGCCACCATTATTCCAAGTAGCAAGGCGTAGCAGAGCATATCTCTCAGCTCATCTTAATCCCTGGAGCACAAAAGAGGAAAAAGAAGAATGCTCTCCCTTTCTATTTAGAGCAACTTCAAAAGTTAGGTGTTCTTTAGTGACAGATCAGTAGGAAAAAAAAAAAAAAAATAAAAAATCCCTGCTCCATGAAATGGCTTCTAGTGAAACCTTTGAAGGTACTTAAGTAGAAGGAGCACTGGTTTCTCTGACAAAATTTTACTGCAGAGCTCTAACCACAGCTTATCTCCATCTTCTGAACTTGATTACAAGGCTTAGCTTGAGATATTAGCTCTGGTATGATTTCCAAGACTGCAGGACAGGAAGAATATGAAGAAGGAATGTAAGCCAATGGAAAGTTTACAGGACATTACTCAGGACAGAGCAGTACAGCGTACTGGCAGAACCAAAGTATGGTCAAAAGAATATGGGAAAGAGAAAGAAGGAATAGAAACAGGCAAAGAGACAATGAAAATACTTACAGTTATAGTATAAAATAAAGGTGAAAGTATGTCAACATCACCCAAGATATGTCAGTAAGCTATGTTTAACTTCGAAAGTTGCTTCAAATGGATGCAGCTCAGTTACTCAGTCTTGCAGGGGTAACTTGGTAGAGCAAGTACACCTCAGTCTAATTAGCACTTGGGCTAAAAAAATGTCAAATACTTTCTAAAGCCCTGGAACAAATGCCCAAATATTACTTAATTAAACCTAACCCGCAAAAGTACTTCATGACACTGCGAAAGGATGGAGTTGACACCATACAGATACAAATGGAAGATGAAATGGGGGGTGGGTGGGGTGGGGTGTGTGTGTAAGTGGAAACAGCTCCTTAAAATATTACTCCCTTGCATGGGGTCTTTATTAATTATTGCTCAGTGCACAGTTCTCTTTGGCCAAATGAAGCTTAAGCAGATGGTACAGTGTATTTTTTGTGCAATACAGAAAATTCTCAGTATCTGATTTCATAGGGTGTCTGAATTACACAGAAGCTCTCATATTTAGAGCACTGCCTTTGCAAGTTTATCTCTGATTCAACCTAAGGAAAGAGCTGTCTGCAAGTCCTGACTCGGTATTTCAGTCCCAGCAAAGAAAGTGTCTGTTTTGTGCTATTGTTCTAATACTTGTAAACTAAGAATTTAGGTATCAGTAGGAATCAAATTTTAAATAGACTGTTAAGAAAAAAATCCTAATGTCCACCTCAGTTTCCCCAGCTTGCTAAATGTAATCACTGGTGACGAAGTTAGGGGAAGCAGACATTCTACCCAAGCTTTTTAAAAGAATGCCAGTTGTTTAAACAGGAACCATTTAGGCGTTGCTTTGCAATCTCTATCTTTTCTCTGCCTCCATACTTTCTTCAGGTCATCTGTTACAATCCATAAAGGCAGAGAAGTTCACAGAAGACTGGCAAGTATCTGAAGGAATTGCTGGCCAGTTAGTAATACTTTCCTCTTCCTTGAACTGCTGTCTTGGCTGTGCTGGTAGAGGCAAGGGTCCTACTGATAGGCACCACATAGTGCCTGGGCAGGAGCTTCAGCTTTGGGCATATTTAAGCTGCTCCCTTGTAAGTACAGCTCTCTTGCCATCACAAATAAATCTGGAAGCAGACTACTTGAAATGGGAGAAAGAGGGGACTTTTTTTTGGATTTGGGGGCTTTTTTTTTTTTTTCAATTTATGCAATTTTAAAAGCCATTTTACCAGCACTTTGCATCCTCAAAAATGCACTTTTGAGAGTATATGTTGTTTCTCTTTCTTTGACACAGGTGAAAATCTAGGTAAGCAATGTCTTTTGTTCCTGACATTAGCAGATTGAGGTCTGCATGCCCTTCCTCATGCAGAGTTTCTGCCTGAGAATTATTATGTTGCCTGCCACAGCAAAGTAGTTATTTGGTCTAATGCAAGGAAGTCTGAAGTTAAGTGCAGTTTAAAGGGAGGAAGCCCGAGAAGATAAAAAGGAAGTTTGTCAGTGTAGGATGCTTATCCACAGGAAGGCAGTCCAATAATGTTTCCTTTTAGACCACCAGTCCACTTTCTGTACACTGTATGTGCAGAGGTGTTCCTACACATGCTGGTAGACCACTTGGTGGCATTTTGCATCTGATTAACTTCTGAACTGGCCTATCACATTTTTGGTGGAGGATGTCTGACCAGAAGGGGATAAAGCTTTGAGGAATTTTTTTTTTTTTTTTTTGTGACCACTTTACCACAATTAAGTGTATGTTTACTGTAAATAGAGAATACCTATAAGAAAGTTATCTTAAAACCTGAAGTTTTCAACAAATTTGCTTTTATTTTGATAGAGGAAAAATAAAATAATTTAAAAAGTTTAGAAAAGCCTGAGAGAGGCAAAACACTGTTTTTACTTTGAATGTTCACGAATTCTGCAACTCAGATCTATAGAAGGTCACAACAAATCCAGATGGATGTTAAATCTAGAAAACTCTCAGAGACAGGTCTTTCTGCTTTTGATTTTTTGCACATGGTAAGTTAAAACTCTGAAAAAGGTGAAACACTCATTCCTCTATTCCAAGACTGAAATTCTGAACTCTCTAATTCAGTTCAACATTTAAGAAGTCATTTGCACATTAACATTTTACTTGTAACAGTGATGCTTTTATCCCTAGTAACTTAGTAGTGAGCTAAACTGTCCCAACAGATATCCCAACACAAGGCTCCTTATAAGGAAAAAATAATTCATTCCCAGGGTCTATTCTCAATAAATGTAAACTGAATGCGCTCATTCCTTGAGGAAATACAGAGCAGCATTAATTCACACAGCCTGGGGACTATGGCATACACAATACCCCCCCCTTCAGCCCATCTCAGAATGACTTCATACATCAAGTATCAAGCCACAAAAAGGCAGAGGACACAGAAATGCGTGTCAAGAGGATTTAGCTCAAATTAAGATGTTTGTCTCTTTACATTACTCTAGAATGCTCATAAAGCATGCTTAGTATCTTAAGTACATTTTCCTAAATGCTTTTAGATCTAGTGTCTGACTCCAGTTTTGGAATCCTCATGGAATGTAATTAGAACAAAAAGCTGCACTTGGAAAGGGCTTATTCAGTGCTGCTGGTTTATTTTCACTTTAACAGAGAGACTCTGAAGAGCTGGCAATATTTATACTAGTGTATTTGATTTAAAAGGCTAGTAGAAGGCAAACATTCTTTTTTTAACTCCTTAAATGAAAAATAGTTTCTGAACATAATGAAGGTAACTATTTTAAGAAAAAATTTTAAAACCAAAGATACTGACCAACTACAGCATCTTCTCCACTGCCCATGCTTAAGATGATACTTTCATTGACATCACTACTGTTTTTCTGCATTTGAATTTCCAGTCACTACACTGCAAAGCGCAATGGTAGTCACTACTTTTACCTACAGCAGTCTTTTTCAGGCTTTGAAATGAGAAATACATTTGATATCCATAAAACCTATTAGCTTTCTTATAAGCACTGAAGAGCCTAGTTATCTAAAAAGGCTTCAAGAAACAGGATAAAAAAAGACTTGGTTTAGCAGGGTAAATTCAGCTGTTTCAGTAGATCCATCAGTCTTTCTGGTATTTTATTATTTTAGTGCTGTCACCTTAAGTTCTTGTGTTTTTTTTTCTTGAAGTTCTAGCTCTGAGAACCCTCTAGCCTCCCTTCCTGAGTTTCCTCCTCTTTATCTCTGACCCCCTACCCTCCCAGCACTTAAAAGTATTTTATGCAGCACATAAATCTAGATTCTTGTTCAGCTTCAGTGAAGGAATGCTGAGTCTTATCTTTCCAAATAAGTTTTAACTAGGAAACAATCTTTGTTTTAAACTAGCTCAACTGGTAGAATGCTCAAGCCCTGTATGTTTTACCAGAATGAGCAAAAATGATAGACAATTATTTGCTTCATAGAAAGACAACTCTGTAGCTATAACAATCTTTGTTTTAAACTAGCTCAACTGGTAGAATGCTCAAGCCCTGTATGTTTTACCAGAATGAGCAAAAATGACTGCAAGTGGCCTAATACTGTGAAAGATTATTAAGAAGGAATTTCACTGAGTGGTGACCAAGGGTATTTTTCCAAGCAGCTCACAGAATAGCCTTTGATTACATGCAGGAAGTTAAGGTGGCTGTTTTGCAGCCATTCCTTCCTCTTTGTGTAGCTCTGGAATACAGACCTCCCAAAACCGCGAGGCAGTAAAAGAGGATAAGGGTGCTCAGCTCAGCAAGGTCTTTCCACAGGAAGACCATTCACTGAAAGAAAAAGTAACTAGAAATTAAAACACATTTCAGGTATAGTTTTAACACATTTTAATTTTTTTCCTGGAGTTAACACATCTTTCCAGTTGTTTTCAGACAGTTAAAGGAATTCAAGGGGCAAAACTGGCAGGACAAAGGAACTTCAGCGTGAGATCATAATCTGGATGCTGTTATGGTGGTACACCAGTGCAGAGAGAGCCTAAGGAGAAGCATACCTGGTACTTATGGCTGAATGTCCAAAGCAAAGATGCCATTACCTCTTCATGTGCTCCCTAGCCCAGAAATAAAAATGCTTCACCAGCATCGTGTGTAGCTATTAATATTCATAGACTTAACAGCAAGTAGCTATTCCTGCTGAGTGGTAGACAAACGAAAGAGGTGGATCTATGGGCTTTTCCACATGTTTTTCTCTGGGATTTCTTAAGGGAATTTAGTAACTTCTGCCCAGATCGGAAAAGACAGAAGAATGACTAAGTTGAGATAACTGACACATGGGCTACCTCTGCTTATTATGGATATTTGGTTGTTCACTGGCATTCCTCTCATTCCTCTTAATTTTTACTGTAAAGCTCCTTTACTATAATGGGAAGAATTCTTCTGGTGGCATTAGTGTGTTATTTTTATTGCAGCAGGTGGCTAAGACCTGATAAAGAACGGCCATTACCCAATTTAGAAGAGCATTTTTACTGACTTCTAGACACTTGTTTAAAACAGAAATAGCACTAGAACAGAGAAGAAAAACTGCTTCGAGATGTGAGCAGTTATGAACAAAGAGTAAGTGATGGGGTGAAAATTAAGAATCATTCTCCTCTGCTCTCATACACATGCAGTCATGAAGTTATTTTTTTCCCCCTACTACATATTCCATCTCTGCTCTCAGAAACGCTGAAATACCGTACTAATAGTAGAAGAAAGTACTATATCCTCATCTCTGGCCTGCAGCATTCAGGCTTCCTAACAGCTCCAAAATTTAGTGTAAGTTTGTAAATCCTTCTAAATCACTTTTAAAATACATGCCTAAAATAGGAAGGAGTGAGTTAATATCCCAGTAAGATATCTGACGACTTAAAAAACTGGCACCTCAAAAGTAACTGTTTTGTGCAGTCCATATTCAGAAACACAAGCATTAGTTCAAACTCCTTTCTTACCCAGAAGGTAGCTCTGATGATCCCAAAGAAAAAACAACTTGTAGTATATACAAAAAATAAACCATGCAGAACATACACCCTACCTGTAGTCTGCAGTTTAAACTAATTGGTTAAAAAACATTAGACATTTTCTTAGCATGAGCAACTGACAATAGAAAAAGCAAAACAAGTGCTATACCTGGACATAAAAAATTCTCTACCTGTGAAATTTCAAATTAGTGCTTTTGTCTAAGAGCTTAGAAGCATATGAAAAATCCAATACTTGCATATTGCTGATCTTTCTTTAAAAATCAAAGTCAGTAAGTCCGACATGATTCTTTAAATTTCCCATCCATTTTTAATCGAAAATGCGGTTTCTGCAAAGCCCTTCAATCCCCTGTTCAGAAAACAAACTATTGTTCTAGTCCGGGATTTTTGTGGAAACAAAAAGTAGACGTCAAATTTCAAGTCAACCCGGTGCGATTCGTACTCCTTGGATCCCACGTCTGGCACTCTTGCTATTCCCTGACGGATGCGCCTCCCGCCTCCGCCCCTCCCAGCGGGAGGGTTGCATTGCATCATGGAAAATGTAGTCTGGCTGGGCAGACCAGCCCACCTGAATGGAGACGCTAGGCACTCAAATCACGGCTTCTGCGTTGCATGCTAGCAAGTGCTGTTCACTGTCAAATCCAGTCCGGATGAGTATGTATTGTTTTCAGCTGTGAGTCGCCAAAAGTGCCATTTCCAAGATAAAGTTCCAATAAATTTAATTAAAAATACCGATTGTTCTAAAACGATGCATCAAAGTCTCTCTCCATAGGAAAGGCGGTATCGGCTGTGACTGCTAGCCCTGATCCTTATGGTATAGTATTTTCGCAATATTTTACATTAGCAGCGCGGCTGTAAGTGAGGCCGGAACGCCTTGCTACAAGCAGGGGCTAGCATTTGGTGTTTCCCCAGTGCTGTGCAGGAGTCCCATACCCTCAGCCTGCCCGGGAGCTTCATCTTCTCTTTATTTTTTTTTTTTTTCCAGGAAGGCCATTTAATTTGCGGAGACGGTACGATCCCGAACGGCGTGTCTTTTAGCGAACACAGTAACAGAGGAAGAACCCGTTCGACTTTACGCGGTACTGCAACTGCGCCCCTTGCTGAAAACAGACCGACACCGATGGCCGGCGCCGGCCTTTCCACAGCGCCTCTCCGACACCGAGGCGAACGCGACGCCTTAATTGCGTCAGACGGACTCTCGGGGGTCTGTGGCGCCCAGCCCTCCACCTTGGGCTGCCGGAGCCGCTCCGGGACGAACCGGGCGGCCTGCGGAGGGAACCGGCCGCCGCCGCCCGCGGCGCGCGCCACCCGCCGGGCCCGCACGCGCCTACCGTATGCCCTCTAATAAAGGGGAAAAATAATTACTAAAAACCATTCGGGCGCGTCAAACTGAGGTACCTCACGGGCTTGTTGCGGGCACGCGTGGGGGCACCCGCCCCAGCTACCGCGCCAGAAGCTTCGCCCACTTCAGCCCGCCTCCGGGGCCGGAGCCCAGGCCTCTTCCCCGGTCTGGGCACCTCCTACCTACCCTTCGAGACTCCCCCGCCGCAGTTCTCTACTCCCGTGGAGACCTGGCGAAAAGCGGCCGCCGCTCTGCAC